GCGTTATAGTGAAGTATTGCAAATTGGCTCCGCGGCGGCGCCAGTTGTCATCGATGCACCGGGTACTTCACGGAAAGAGGTGACAATAACGTACATGAGCAGAAAGTGCTATTCTGAGCCGGTGCAGGTAATCAGAAAATGCATTTGTAGCTTGCAAGGTAAGGCCTTGTGCGGAGTCTGCGTCCTGTGCTCCAGGGAAGCCGGCGACAACGGTCTTTTGTTCCCAGGGGTCAGCTACTCTGAAAGTTTAGCGACGTTGAAACTGGCGGCCCAGGCGCGCGGCCTACCCAACGCGTCTGCGTGGGGAACGCATGCCTTCAGGCGCGGCTGGGCCACAGAGTGCTTGCAGGCCAATGGCCCTACGGCGTTGTTTTACTCTGGCGGATGGCGTGGCCTTTCCGCTTTCGCTTACGCCTCTGCCAGGGCTCGTGGCGGTATCGCTGCGGCGGAGTTCCTCATTGAGCATTCAGAATCATCGGAGGCTGCGGAGTAAAAATGCTCCTGCTTGCAGGGGGTGAGGTCGCTAATCAGTTGCATTTCGCTTTGCGCAGCCGTCCGGGCCACCTGGGTGCATTGGGGTGCTCTGGGGGCTTTCCCAGGATGACCCCCAGCCAGCTGCGCGAAGTTTGGCTGCCCATCGTACGTGCGAGAACACAGCGGCACAGAGGGCGACGAGAAATTTTAGTCGCCCCTAAATCGCGAAGCGATTTGGGGGGCAGTGAAATTTTGAGGAGCGCTAGGGCTCCTTGCATCCTGGCCTCTTGGCCTCCTTGCCTCCATGCCTTTGGCTCGCTGGAGCGGGCGCTCCCTGGTGGGAGCAGCGGATCCCCGGGAGGGGTGAGTGAGTTCGTTCCACGCGCTTCGCCCGTTTGGGTGGCGGGTGTCTGTTGTGTCGTTGGTCAATTGGTCGGCGTCGTCTGTTTGTTGTCTGTTTTGTCGGTGGGCCCGGAAGGGCATGTGGGGGTGCCGTCTGCGGCGAGCGCTGCGCCAAGCCAGCGCTTCGTCCAGGCAGACGCCTGGCGGTGCCAACGGGGCGCCCCTGCCAAGGTGCCGTGGCGGTTGGGGCTTGCCGCGGGGCGTGGTTTTCGTTTTCCCGCCCGCCCTCCCTGTGTTCTGCTGGCTGGGGTGCTCTGGGAGCTTTCCCAGGATGACCCCCAGCCAGCTGCGCGAAGTTTGGCTGCCCATCGTACGTGCGAGAACACAACGGCACAGAGAGCGACGAGAAATTTTAAGACAGCGACGTCCGCGCCATGGTCTCTGCTGCAGGGCAGGGCGCTTTCGGCGGGAGCGGGAACGACAAGGTAGCTCAGTGGGTGCAGTTCGTGGCGTCTGTGCAGGATGCCCCAGCAGATACTCACCCGCTCATCTTCTACGCGGGCACGGCCCGGGCGCTCGCCGAGTCCATTGGGTCAGTGGAGCCCACTGATTACGCAGGAGAGAAGATGCGAGATTTTGTCATCAGTAGCTTGCAAGTGAACGCTGTTCCTTTCGACCAGGACCAAGAGGAGCAATGGGAAAACTTCAAGCTCAAACCTGCCCACATCACCTTGGCCCTCAAGGTCCAAACGAAGGCGATGCGTGAGTTCCCGTCGGGCTGCCCGGGCTCCAGCAGCGCCGCGGACCAGACTGCCCAGGCCATTGCAGAGTGGGCCAAGGTGCAAAACGCCAAGGCGGAGAAAGAAGCTAAGCGCGGGACGTTGAGCTTCAACTTGCAGGACAGGATCGCTGAAGTGGGGCTCCGGTGCGTCCAAGGAGATTTACTCCCCACAGAAGAGGCGCTTCTCCGGATGGAGAATCTCCCGTCGGCGAAGATTGCCAGGGATAAGGGCCGGAAATGGGTGGGCTCCTCTGAGGGAGAAGATCTGCTCGCGAACTTCCGCCCAGGGTTTTCGAAAACGCCTAAACTGGACGTCCTCGTGGGCAACGGGACCATCGGTGACAAAGTCACGGAGGCCCGGGAAGCGAAGCGGGCCCGCACCATGGAGGAGCGGATCGGCTTCATGGGCTTCGCGAATTTTCTCGGTCACCTCCACGATTGGGGCACCAAAATGGTTCTCTCCAAGGTGATCACGCCCGTGCAGTACTGGGCGTACGAAATGCAATTGGTGCGCTTGTGTGAGGAGCGCGGCGGCACGAGCGTTGCGTTCTACTACGACCTGCTTCTCCGCCAGAAGCTGGCCCGTGCCCTCGAGCAGGGCCAGGACGACCAGGTCGAGGTCTTGCTGTGCAGGCTGGATCGTGACGTGCTGGAAGACGCCTCGCACAAGGTCAAGCAGCGCGCCGAGGAGGTCAACCGGGCCAACTCTCGAAGCAGACGAGCGGCCCGGCGTCATCGCAGGGGCACGTGCCTTCGCAAGGAGGCAAGCCGGGAGCGCAGGGCAAGGGGGGCCAGAAGGGTCGCAAGCCAGACAAAAGCGGAAACCAGAGCAAGCCCGCCAGGCTGGCCCCGACCACGCCCCAGCGCTCCAGGAGCCCGCCCAAAGGCAAGGGCGCAGCTTCTGCGCAGTGGCACACCAAAGGCCAGGAGAAGAAGTGGTCCAGCTGGTGAAGTGAACCGGCGTCTGCCTCCAGCGAGGCGCCTTCGGGAGAGGGACAACCCCTCGGCGATGCCTCGGGCGTGTTTAGCGCCGGCGAAGGCTTCTCTGCTCTCTGTGGCGCTGTAGAGCACTTTTTAAGTGATCCTGTTAGATTAGCGGGCATGGACCCGTTTGCTCAGTTAGACTGGGCGCTGCACCTGCCGCTGTGCACCGGGGAGTTTTCCATCCCTGAGGCGTCCAGAGATGCAATTAATTGGCATTCAGCCGACCCTAGCGCACTGTGCGAGTTCAGGTGGCGCCAGTTGAAATATTGGAAGCACCGCCAACAGCTGACGGCGCTAGCGTGGCGCGACCAGTGCGCGCGCTTGCCGGCGCACGTCCGTGCCATATTGGGGCCTGAAAAGAACTTGGCGTTGTTTTCCGAGATGCTGGAGGCCTCGGGCTCTCCAGACAGTCACCTCGCAGCATCGCTCGCGCAGGGTTTCCCTCTAGCGGGGTACATCCCCCCGAGTGGTGCCATGTGCTTGAGCGACGCCGTTAGCCACGCATCGCCAGAGGAGCTGTTGGAGGCAGCGCCAGGCGCCAACGCTAGCATCCTGCAAAGAGTCCGAAACGCACCCGCCAGGGACGGTCGCGTTGCAGAAGGCCTCGAGGCCCGCATCTGGGCGGAGGTGGCGGCTGGACAGGCCGACTGGCGCGATTTGCCATCGGATCTCTCGGGCGTGGTGTTGTCCCCTCGGTTCGCTGTGGACGAGGGCTGGCGCTTTCGCGATGGACAGTGGTCTCTCAAGGTCCGTGCCATCGATGACCTCACAGCTTCTGGGGTCAATGGCGCGACCACGGTCTCCGAACGCGTCGCCCACGAAACTCTCGATGATTTAGTGGCGGCGGCGCAGTGCCTCGTCGCTGGTGGAGCCAGCGCAGCGGACGTCCGCTTCCGCAAGGATGACGTCTGCGAGGCCTACAAAACTCTCCCGCTGCATAGTGACCACCTCCTGTTTGCGGCCGCTGTGACGGCGGAGTCCGTCTCGCAGGATCAGTTTTTGCAGCTGTTCTGCTGTCCATTTGGGGGGGGGGCGAGTGTCCATGCCTGGCAGCGCGTGGGCGCGGCTTTTCAAGCCATACTTTTTGCGTTTGTTTAGCATCGTGTATCCACGTTTCGTGGACGATGTTTTCGGCGTTGATGCAGAGCAAAGGCACGAATGGGGTGATAGCGCCGTAGGCGCCGCCTCTTTAGCTAGATTCGTCATCCAGGATTTGCTGGGCTGGCGTCTTGATTCACATAAAGCAGTTACGGCAGCTTTGAGTTTTGTTGCGCTGGGCGTTCGTGTGTCCGTGGACGCAACCACAGAGTGTTTAAACTTTGTCGTGCCCAGCGACAAGTGCGCCAAGTGGCTGGCGGAAATCGCAGAGGTGCTCCGGGACCAGCGTTTAACGCCAGCGCGCGCAGAAGCTGGCCGGCCGGCTCAGCTGGGGGGCCACAGCAGTCTTCGGGAAGGGCGCGCGCGTCTATCTGGCGCTGCTCTTCCGGCATTCAGCCGGTAGAAGCACTCGCATCTCCAAGCGTTTGCGCTTTGCGCTCCTGTGGTGGCAGCGGCTCCTCAATTCGCAGCCGAGCAGGGCCGTCCCGCTGTCGCCATCGGTGAAGCCACGTTTGGTGGTGTACACTGACGCCTCGGGAGCAGGCGTGCTGGCTTGGGTGGCAGTGCTGGCCGGGCGTAAGTTTTTCGCTTCAGCGCCAGTGCCGGGCTGGCTTGCGAGGTGGGCCTGCCCGCGTCAGCAGCAAATCCACACCTGGGAGCTAGTAGCTGCAGTGTGTGCACTCTGGCACTATTTCAGTCTGCCCGAAGGCGTAGCGGGGCTCGACGTTGTGATTTTTATCGACTCGACAGTCGCTTTCGGGACGCTGCTCCGCGGGTGCTCCCGCCAGCGTGACTGGAATGCTATGGTGGCTGGCGCGTGGTTTGCTGCAGCAGACCGCGGCCGCTTTTTAAGTGCATTCCGCGTGCCCTCACATTTAAATTTGGCAGACTGGCCAACTCGTCCAGAGCAGAAGGCATCGGAGTTGGCACAGCGGTCTCTCGCGGCTTCGTTCGCTCGAGTGGGCTTGGCCGGCAGTGGATTTCTGGCAGCAGAAGCGGTGACGGGCATGCATTCGCGAGGAAGGAAAAAAGTGCGCAGTTGTTGCTTGGTCCGCGTTTCTTGCCGCGTGCGGCGGCGCACCCGTAGTCAGCTTGGCCCAACATGGCACTTGAGTTCATCAACCGCAAACGCGCGCGGTGGGCTTTGGGCGATGGCGCTTCGGACCCTGGGCCGCCAGAAGAAGCGTGCTCCCATGATGTGGTGCCGCCTGCTCTTGAACAGTGGTTCACGGGGGTGCTTCGGCGCACGCCGCCGCGTTACCACCCGCATCGCCTGACAATGTGTTGCGCGCTCTCGCCAGTGGCGGGGCCGTGGCCGGAGGTGACTTCAACGACATGAGTGTGCAGGAGCTTCGGGACGTCTGGCCGTGCCTCCGAGAGCTGGCCAGTGAATTCTTGGCCATTTTCCCTTCCGGGAGGCGCTCTCCTGTGGCGCCGCCGGCCGCGTTGCAAGTGGCGTGGGCCACGTGGCGTGGGCTCGGCGTCACGGAGGCGCAGGGGGCAACCCGAGAGAGCGTGCTTTGCAATTGGTGGGCAATATGTCTGAGTTCGCAGCGACGCAGGAGCTCTTGAGACGAGAGCTCTGCGGGTAGCATCGGATTGCTTACAAGTATGCGTCCGCAGTGCGGCTTGGGAGCCAAGTAGCCAAGGGCCTGGGAGTGCCGCCGTGGCCGCCGACAGACAGCGTGCTGGGGGCCTTTGCTTTCGCAGTGCAGAACGGCAACACGCTGATGACGTATTGCGCCCAGGTCCGGGCGGCCCTGCGGCTGGTCCGGGTCCCTCAGGGGTGTTTGGAAGACGCCTCAAGTCTGGCACGGGGGGCTGCCAAAACGGTGCCCGGCACGAGCCGCTTTCGAGCGCGGGCCAGTGCGCACGACACCCGCAGCGTTGCTGGCCACGTGCGGGAGGTGCTCCGGGACCCTCTGGTGGCGGATTCCTTCGTCGTCGCCAGACACTTCTGTTTCCGTTTCGCGTCGGAGGTGGTGCCTCTGGAGCACGACGGGCCGCGCTCCAGGGTCGTGCTCTCGGTCGACGGGGGCTTGCCCAAGGCGTGCATCTACTTGCACAAGCGCAAGATGCACACAGAGACAGTGGTGGTGACAAGGCGGTGCACCTGCGTGCTCCAGTCGCGGCAGCTGTGCGGGGTGTGCGTCCTGCAGCGCCGGGCTGGGGGGGGGCGCCTCTTCCCTGGCCTGTCCTACAGGGCAGCTCTGGCCACGCTGAAAGCATCGGCGCTGGCGCTCGGCTTCGAGCGCGCGGCCGAGTGGGGCACGCATGCCTTCCGCAGAGGCTGGGCGGACGAGTGTTTAGCGGCGGGCGGCGTGCCGGCGCTCTTCCACAGTGGAGGCTGGCGTGGCGTCGCTGCGTTCGGCTGCGCCTCTGCCGCCTCCAGAGACGCCATGACTGCTGCGGTGTGGCCAATGGAGTTTTCGGACTCGTCTGCGTCCGACGGCGCGCCGTGAGCGGTGGAAACTGTGAGAATTATCGTCGGGTGCTGCTGCTGCTGCTGTGTGCTGTGCTCTCGTCGTCAGCAGTGGGATTGGGGTCCGGGTCGCCGAGAGCCCCAGCTTTGGGTCTCGAGGGCTCCTTGGGGTCTCTCGTGCTCCCCTGCCCGGCTGCACGCTGTGCGTCGCCCAGCGCTCCGTGCGAGCGCGCAGAACCATCCCAGAGGTGAGCGGCCGCGCGAGAATCTTCATCATCCCTAAGCTTTGGTTCTGGGGAGGAAGATTCTCACAGGCCGCTTCTGTCCCCATTCGGGGATTCGGTGATTCGGTTGCCTTTCGGCGTCTCCGCTCCCCTTGCCGCCCGGGTCCGAGGCGGGGTAGCAAATATCGGCCAGTGCTCCCGTGGGAGCCGCGTGGCTACGCTGCAGGCCAACGGCTGTGCAGTGTGGCCTGGGCGCGCGCGGCCTCGTCGGGGCGACGCTCTGGCGGGCCGGCGCGCCCTCCTGCGGGCCGCGGGCGCTGGTCGCCTGGGGCGTCGCTTTCCGCCGGCGCGGCCGGCTTTCCCGCCCGCCCTCCCTGGGGTGTCTTGTGTGCCAGCCGGGCTGGGTCTCGAGGGCTCCTTGGGGTCTCTCGTGCTCCCCTGCCCGGCTGCGCGCTGCGTGTCGCCCAGCGGTCCGTGCGAGCGCGCAGAACCATCCCAGAGGTGAGCGGCCGCGCGAGAATCTTTTGTGAGTATGTGTGTCTGTGTGTCGTGTGCCTTTGTGTCTGTGTGTCTGTGTGTCAGTGTGTCTGTCTGCCTGTGTGTCAGCGTGTCAGTGTGGCAGTGGCAGTGTGTCAGTGTGTCAGTGTGTCAGTGTTTGTCAGTGTGTCAGTGTGTCTGTGTGACTGTTTGTCTGTGTCTCTGTGTGTTTGTGTATGTGTGTTCGTGTGTATGCGTGTCTGTGTGTCTGTGTGTCTGTGTGTCTGTGTCTGCGTCTCTGTGTGTCTGTATGTCTGTGTGTCTGTGCGTCTGTGTGTTTGTGTGTTTGTGCGTCTGCGTGTCTGTGTGTCTGTGTCTGCGTCTCTGTGTGTCTGTATGTCTGTGTGTCTGTGCGTCTGTGTGTTTGTGTGTTTGTGCGTCTGTGTGTCTGTGTGTGTGTGTGTACCTGTGTGTCTGTACGTCTATGTGTCTGTGTCTGTGAGTGAGTGTGTTTGTGTGTCAGTGTGTCAGTGTGTCCGTGTGTGTCTCTGTGTCTGTGTGTGTGTCTGTGCGTCTGTGTTTCTGTGTGTCTCTGTGTCTGTGCGCGTGTGTATGCGTGTGAGTGTGTGGGTGTTGAGAGTTGACTTCCCGGGGCTGAGAGAATATGAACATCGAGAAAATCTTTGCGGGCTACCATATTTCACCCCCACAAGTGGGTCGACGCTCCCGCGCCGCCGTTGGGCCAGCGGGAGACAAGGCGCCGCCAGACTGGACCTGACCGGAGTGTCTCCACGGGCCCGTCTGGCAGGAAGGTCGACCCAACCCAAAAGCAGAACAAGCGGGTGGATGTGGGTGGGTTACAAGCCGCCCTTGCGGCGCTGCAGGGCTGCCACAAGCCACGGGCGCTAGGGCGTTCCGCCCTGCAGAGCAGCCTCCCTAAAGGGCTGTTGCGGCGCTGACACGGGCCACTGGCGCCAGGGCGTTCCGCCCTGCAGAGCAGCCTCTCTCAGGGCTGTTGCGGCGCTGACGCGAGCCACTGGCGCCAGGGCGTTCCGCCCTGCAGAGCAGCCCCCCTCAGGGCTGTTGCGGCGCTGCCACGGGCCACGCGAAGTTCCGCCCTGCAGAGCAGCCTCCCTCGGGGCTGTTGCGGCGCCGTCACCGAAGTTGACCGCGGGAGTGCAATGGCGACGAGGAGCGGCGGCGAAGTGGCAACGAGGCGCGCCCAGACTTACAATCAGAGCGCGATGACGCGCTGCAGGCGTGCCCAGAAGCGCAATCGGAGCGCGATTCCGCGCGTTCAGGCGCAGGCGTGCGCAGGGGCGCAGGCGCGCAGGCGCGCCCGTAATCACAATCAGTGCGCGATTGACTGCATACGGTCGCAGGCGTGCCCAGAAGCACAATTGGAGCGCGAGTGCGCGCATTCGGGCGCAGGCGCGCGCGGGAACGCAATCAGAGCACGATCCGCGCGTTCGAGCTCTGCTTCGGCGCAGACTCGCTGTCAGAGCTTCCGCGCGTTCGGGCGCAGGCGCGCCCAGGACCGCAGTCCGAGCGCTCAGGCAGCGCCCGGAGTCGCATTCGGAGAGCGTAGGCGGCGCTTATGGGCGCAGGTGCCCTGCCACGCAATCGTAGCGCGATTCTGCCCGCGCTCGTGGGCGCCCAAAAATCGTGATCAGCGCGCGAACTGGCGCGCGCAGGCGCGAGCAACACTCCAGTCGGTATGCGAGGTCGCACCTGCGGGCGCCGGCGCGCCCACAATCGCAATGAAAGGTGATCGCGAGTCCGGGCGCAGGCGCGCCCGGAATCATAATCGGAGCGCGATTCCGCGCACGCAGGCGCAGGCCAGCGCAGGCGTGCCCGGCATCGCAATCCGCGCGTGAATCCGCGTGTTCGGCCGCAGGCGCGCTCTGGCGCTCATAGTTGTTCTGAGATTTGAATCAGGCACGCCCAGCGTTGCAATAGGATAGCGATTTGCGTGCTTGCACGCGCTGGCGCGCCCGGAATTGCACTCAAAGTTCGATCGCGTTCGGCCGGAAACAACGTGCATTGGCAGGCAGGCATGTCCAGCGCGCAGGGGCGCTGGTTGTCCTGCGCGCGTTGCGCGCCGGCGTCTGGTGGGCCGCGCTTGCCCATTTGCGAGCGGCGAACCACACAGTCGTCGCGTTTGCATGCGTTGGGCGCGCAGAGTTCGTTGCAAAACTTGACTCCCGCGCGTGCGCCACTCGCGTGGCTCAGCGCCGCCAGCCTCGCCACGCTGGAAGCATTGGGCCCGTGGAGACACTCCAGTCAGGTCCAGTCTGGCGGCGCCTTGTCTCCCGCTGGCCCAACGGCGGCGCGGGAGCGTCGACCCACTTGTGGGGATGAAATATGGTAGCCCGCAAAGATTTTCATAGCCCGCAAATCGCGTAGCGATTTGGGGGGCAGAAAAATCTTCAGGGCGCGCATGAGTGCGCCTCTCTGCCTTTATGCATCTTGGCTTCCATGCCTCGGCTATCTATGCGCTTGACCGCGGCGTGCGTTTGTCTCACACGCCCAGGGCTGCTTCGCAGCAGGTGGCCCCTCTTCCGCTTCCTCCATCGGTTGGTCGGTTGGTTGGCTTGGCGCTGGTGGCGTGCGCAGTGGCTCCTCGCAGCGAACTCGTGGCTCTCTGCTGGTCTCGCGGGCCCGTCTTGTGGGCGTCGCGCCCCCCGTCCTGCGGGGGCGCTCCTGACCTGCGAAATGGCGAGCTCGACCTGCGAGCGCCTTTCCCCGACTTGCACGGGTACTGCCTGCGTAACGGCCAGAGAGGCACTCCGCCCAGAGGATGCCTTGCCCGACCTGCGGTGCCCCACCGCCTGCGACGCTACTCCTCGCCTGGATGGCGGCTCGTCCTGTGGATGCCCTGCGACCCGGCTGGCGAGCGCGCCATCCCTGCGGGTGCCTTGCGTGGCGCGCAGGCGCCTCCCCGCCACGTGTGCCAGAGCGAACCTTGTTCAGGGTTGCCGCTGCGGCAGTTGGTGCCCGACATGCGGGCGCCCCTCCCGGCCCGCGGGAACGCATGACAGCAGTCGGTGCCCGACTTGCGTGTGCACCTCCCGTCCTGCGGGACTGCGTGCTTGAAGATGGTGCCCGACCTGCGGGGGCGCCTCCCGGCCTTCGGGAACGATGGCAGCAGCTGATGCCCGACCTGCGGATGCACGTTCCGCCCTGCGCGGCTGCATGCCTGAGGATGGCGCCCGACCTGCGGGCGCACCTACCGACCTGCAGGAATGCGCGACGAGGAGCGGCGGCGAAGCAGCGTCGAGGAGCGCCGGCAAACAGCCAGAGAAACGGACAGAACGCAAGCACGGCGACAGGAGCCGCACAGCCACACCTGGGGCAGGCACGGGCCG